GCCCGTTCCTTGTTAGGCGAGCGGAGGTTGCGTCTGATATCCTCGAAACGAGGCGAGATTGCGCTCCTCTGACATTGGTCGCTTCGATTATGCGAATTAGGAGCACTTACGTTAACCGATTATGCTCGAAGAACCTTCGGTGAGCAAAAGCGCGACAGGGTAATGCGAAGAAGCTGCACAAACGACGAGGAAGAGTGTTCTTCTCTTCGCCGCGTCGCTGACGCTTGATTTCCGTCGACGATATATCAGGCCGTCGCATAAATTCACGACGACTTTTATGTCGATACATACACGACCCGTTCACGGACCGCACTGACTAACCCAGACATGTTTTTTAATTCATTGACCCAATCACTCGCTGAAACGGTTAACCCCTTGGCGTATTATTTACTTTCGCTACTAAGCTCGTGTAACATTATATTATACTATCGACAGTTTGGAAGAAACACAAATAAATTTTCGATTCTACTGCAAGTGCAAATGCACTTCGAAAATAATTTGTACACCTTCAAGCGACCGGGAATGCTATTTCCGCTAAACAATAAATCTGCCAAATGAAAAATGATGAAGAAGAATTAGGGGAATGGGTTTATTCAATTTTGTACGGTTTATTTTGAAAGTTTGCACAGTTGTGATGGACGGACGTAAGCGTTAATTGATAATAGCAAAATAGTTTTTCTCTTGTAAATAGATTTTTATTAAATTATTTTAGAAATCTTCATTGAGAGTCTCACTCGTCATTGTGTGACAGGGGGTTAACTTCACTTGCTGAATATTTTAAGATTTTATGTTCTGTTTCGTATATTTTTGCTTACTCACAATAATTCTATGTATTATCAAAAATCATAATAACATCAAAGTATTGAATTACATATTTTCCAGTATTTTTAATGAAATATTTTTAGACTTTCTTTACATGTTTGCTTTCTCGAATCATTTGATTCTACAAATTATTAGGCTGCTCGTAAAATACGCGATAACTGCAAAAGCAAGTGTTCATCAACTGATAGAATCAATGAAAAAGAAAAAGAATGTACCTTTTATACAATACATAAAAACTATATTGATATTAAGTTATAACCGAAGATATTCATATTACAACTGAATAGATAAATGAAGTAATAAAAATAAATAAGAATGATTACTTATTTATTGGAAGCAGCAGATCAAGGTGAAAGTGATGGTAATGCCATGATTGCAAGAGAGTTTAACGCGAGAATTGGTAGCAAAGGGAAAAGGGTAAAAAGGGTAGGAGGGGCTATAATCGAAAGGAAGTTGAAATATGAGATCATAAATGAGGAATATTCGAAGCTGTTGAAAATAGTGAAAGAAAATTCTTAGAGGAGCACGGAGGGAGGCAGATACATCATAAACAACAGCTCTGCCTTGTAACGTGTAATACAAATAAAGATAACTAAAGGAGGCAAACTTTACGCGTTCTTTATAGGTCTAAAAGGAAAATATGCTGCGGTGAATAATGCAATATTATTTTTTCTTAGGGAAGAAGAAGAAATAAGAAAATATTTAAATTGAGACTTCTAAGTGTTGGGGGTGTTCTGTTCTCATAAAAAAATGTTTAAGTCTACAACTTAAGGATTGCAAAGTGTCAGACTCATAGGTCGATTTTAAAAATGAATTTGTTTTCGTTCTACAAAAAAAATATTTCTAAAACTGTTTACTGTATATGTTACTCTTTTCTGTAGAGTAATTAAAAATTGGAAATGTTTCGAACTATCGCAGATAGGTTGTATATGTCATTACTAGTATACCGTGTATAGCAGTGAACAATAAAGGGTTATAAGGTCAGTGAAAAAAAATACTATCCGATGAGGCATCTATTAAGAACTCCACCGTATAGCAATTGATTAATTCCACTCCTAACGTATCGATGCTCGTTGTGGTGATTGAATATTCCATTGCTGGTAAAGGTGCATTCACTCGTCCATGAAATTGTTCTAGTAAAGTTTGTAATGGATGCTCTTCTTATTTCGTAAGAAAACATCGGTAAAACCACATTCCTCCTAAGGCTGCTGTCTTCTAAAATCATCCTATGCGTTAATAGTAACTGGAAACATTTGTTGCATGTCTCTTAAATTTACAAAATAGTAGGTGTCCATAAAAACAGCGTGGTCATTGAAAATAATATAACCAATTACAGATATACTTAAATGAAAATTCATAAATATTCGGTCCTCTGAAATAGATCAATTCTATGGATCTTGCAGACGTAAATGGTGTCCCCTTTCGTAATATGAAAGATTCCAAACCATTTCTTTCCTTATAAAATATTACAAAGTTTTATATTCATTGTTAACTCACATCTGAAGGTAATAGGAAATTGTAGAAAATGATTATAATTGATTTCACTACTAGAGTACTGAACGTGCTGCAGTAAGATCCATTAAAAAATAAACAAATACTCATTAACAATTCAAATTTGAAATGCTAATGACAGGTCGGTAATTGAAAACAACTGTAGTTACTAGAATAGACGTAAAACGTTAAATAGTCACTGATAATTGCCGTTCAAACATTTTTCACTGAAAATCAGTATCGAGAAATGACATTGCTCACCTGTTATTTACAATGTTAGCTCGAGTACTTCAAGGAAAACGTTAATACGTACGAAGAAAAGCACTTTACGTCAGAACGTTGAAAATGTAGAAATCTTCGACCAATTAAAACTGAAACGAACGAAATGTCTAAATGTTGTAGAATTTTATCGGTGCCAGTTTTTCGATCTGGAAATAATTTGAAAACTACTCACCGTTTCCCGCGGCGTGCCTCTTTCCGCGGGATCGTCGGGAACCGCGTGAGCAACATTAAACCGCTCCCACTCGCGCGATATTATGATTTAGAAAATGTTCTATCGAGTGGAACGTACGCGCGCCGCGAGATAAGGATGCCGGTTGATAATGTTCCCCAGTTCTTTTCGCGCGAAACGTGTCCGCATGCTGACGAAAACAGCGTCGTCGCCGATTCCGACTGATAAATTCGTAACTCCAACGATCTGCTAGTGTTTCTCGCTTTTCCTTATTTAATTCGCACATTTTCCCATGGGAATTATCCTCGCGGTTCGTCATGTGAGATGATATCAACGGTATCTTCGGCGAAACTATGTTCTCTACTTGGAAATTTGGTGGAAGGGCGGGTCGCTTTCTCAAGAACGACGTGACGCTCTTGACGTGTCCCTTTACACGTTCCACTCAGATGTTCCAACGGGTTCGAAAATTGTAATGTCTTATTAGAATTTATTAGGATTATTGTTATTCGAAAATTGTGGAATTATTCGGTATCTTAGTGAACGTCGAGGGGAATTCAATTAAAATTGAAATGTATTTCGGATGGATTCGCGTTTATTGACACGTTCACCTTTGTGTATTATGAAAGTGATGTAAAACCTGTTTTTGATTGACGCTGAATGATTTACGTGTAATTTGGTGGAAACTTTTCATTTGTAAACAATTTACAGTTTATGTTTCGAAGTGTCTACGCACTGCCAACGATTGAAAATTTGTTGACAAATAACGTTGCATAAGTTTTTGTTGTGAAAATTCCGTGAGACCATTTGTAAGTTTACCGATAAAAATATATTAGAGTTATTAGTTAACTCAATGGACTTTATTAATATTGTCGAATCTTAGATATCTCAAGGAAAACAGACTTACGTACGTTTGTACCAAACATGAGTATAAGAACCGCAATAAAATGAAAAGTATAATTAAATTCGGTGTCACGTATAATTTAATATTACCGTAATAAAATCATTAATAGAGGAATTAAATCCTTGTTTTCCTATAATCTTCGTGAATTGAAGTCAGAAAGTTTTATTTAACATTTTTATTTTATATGAAATTTCAATTTTATGAGATTTTTTATTGAGGCCTTTTGTTTTTGACAAACGTGAACCACATTATACTGCTGTGGGTAACATACCTTTTTTCTTTTAAATAATATATTTACTGTGCTCAACACCGACCACTCCAAGTATAATTACGTCCAGCAGTTCAAACAAGTTTTTCAGTTGTTGTTTTTTAAATGTGTGTAAACAAATTTTAGGAAAATAATCATAAAATAACACGTTTCGTTGTGCAAAACATAAATAAATGATTATTGCCATAACATTTCATAAATTGTGTTCAAATATACTGAATCTCTTCATTGGAAATTAGTTTGTATTTTATATCGAACCTGTATAAATTTTATACAATTTAAATGTTGTATAAACATTCAAAATTCAGACGTGGTAGTACCGTTCCGTTACTACAGTGTTTCATTCATACTTTTCAGTTGAATGGTAACCGGACTGATATGAGGGTGCTCATGCAAACAATTTATTATCGAATAAAAGTAGAAAAGATGAAACTCTAACAGAAAGTTGTTTCATTATTTCAAAGATGTAATGATTTGCATTTTATAGCACCTCACTTTATTTAACAGCATATATCAGGTTTCGCAAATGTATAGTCAATTCATAGTGAGATTTCATAAAAGTGATAACAATTAAACAGTAAAAGTTATACCATAAAAATCAAAATAAAGAAAAATTTGCTTTCGTCGACTAGAAAAGTATTTCTAATAATAAATTAAAATATTAATTCTCCTTAAAATACACAGTATTTCCTATTTTACACACACAAATTTGCAGACACCATAAACGCCTAAAGATCCGCAATGTATCACCAACAATAACAAGTCACTCTAGCTCAGACTCATTACCTAATTCCAAATGTAATGATTTCAGAATAAAGTTCAGTAAAATTTCTATTTCCCGTTCGATGGGACGAATTTATTCGAATTTCCTTTTCTGCAGATCGTTCGATAAAACTCTAAACCAGTATCAGCATTCGCGGTCTAGTCTGTACGAAAAAAAACATAAGAAAAAGAAAATGTGGTCGACTCGTGGGAGAGGAGAATCAGAATCCCGCTTGAACGTCGCGAGATAAGCACGAGAACTCGTCTACAAGCGCTAATTCCCATCTTTCTTTCTCTGTTTTCAGCTGAGTAAGAACTGTGGTCGCAGGAGGCACGAAATGATTCCAGTAGAAATTAAATCCATTCGCAGCCTGCTTGGAAAACCCCGGAACGGCGTGAACTTGTGCCAGTTTTCGTTGCGTCTTTCGAAAAATCTGTTCCCTTATCTGTGAGCGAGAGTTCCTTTCACTGTACAGTTCGACCAGAAAGGAAGTCGAAAATTCAAGGAAATCCGTAGCAAACGGATAAGAGAGATACACGAAGTATCGAGGAAAGAGAAAAGTCAGAAGACAGATTGTATCGAGACCAAAGAAACAGCCGAAGA